TCTCTCTCTCTCTCTCTCTCTCTCTGCCCTGCTTGCACACACACATTCTCTCTAAAATAAAAAATAATAATAGTTTTTTTAAAAACCTTAAAAACTTAAGAATAGCTAACATTTTTGGACACTTGTCATCTTCCAAACACTGTACTTGGTTTAGCTGTGTGATCTCATTTAATCCTAGCAATAGCCATTCAAGTCAAATATTGTTATTGGTGTTTTCTAGAAGAGCAAACTGAACCTAAAAAGCAGGTAAGTAACTCACCCAAAGTCACATAACTAATCTGATTCTCAAGTTCGTACACAATATTACCACACTTTTCTGCCTCGTTCAGTCTATTCAGTATTAAAGTAAAATTTTACTATAAATCAAGTAACTTACGGCAATTTATCTTAAAATACATTACATTTTTGTTTCAAATTAAGCTGTGTACTAGTAAAATTTAGGGAATTTTGTATGTTTGATTTTACTAGTTTAAATTAAAACACAATGTTCATATCTCAGATTTTCTTTTATTGTTTCAACAACACAAAACATTTAAATAAGCTGAGGGGGAAATTCTCATTGTTGTTGAATGAAATTTTTGCTTCAAGAGCAAATTTAATCAGTCTCATTTTCTTTCTTTTTTTAAAAATGTTGATTTATTTATTTGAGAGAGAGCACATGTGTGAGCAGGGGAGGGGCAGAGAGAGAGGGAAAGAGAGAGAATCCCCACAGAGCCAGATGGAAGGCTTGATCCCACCAACCATGGGATCATGACCTGAGCCAAAATCAAGAGTTCGACGCTTAACCAACTGAGCCACCCAGGTGCTCCTAATCAGTCCTATTTTCTAAGCTGTCCCTAGTCACTTGTATTTTTTCCATTTGTTTCCTCAGACACAAATTTTTATCCTCTTATCACTCTGGTAACATATATATCAAAAGGAAAATGTAAGTGGAATAAATGGAAAAATCACTTTTCTATTCCGTGTTTTTCTACTTCGTCCCTACCACTTTCTTTTTTTTTTAATTTTTTTTTTTCAACATTTATTTATTTTTTGGGACAGAGAGAGGCAGAGCATGAACGGGTGAGGGGCAGAGAGAGAGGGAGACACAGAATCGGAAACAGGCTCCAGGCTCTGAGCCATCAGCCCAGAGCCCGACACGGGGCTCGAACTCACGGACCGCGAGATCGTGACCTGGCTGAAGTCGGACGCTTAACCGACTGCGCCACCCAGGCGCCCCTACCACTTTCTTTTTAATACACTTTCACGGATCTCAGGAAATCAAAAGACCCCACTTTTTTGGTGTTCATTTCTGTGAAACTGACGCCACAAAACTGACTTGCTTTCACAAGCTGCCGAAGGTAGCAGGATGCGGGGCAGAGCTGCGGTGCTGGGGACTGACGCGGTGACCTAGCACGTGTTGGCTTGGCAGGCTCACCGCTGCCGTCTGGGTGCCGTGTTCCGCAGCTTTGGCGAGATCCCAGCAGCGAGCTCCGCGCTTCTGAGCTGTTTTAGAATCTTTTCTCACATCCGTAGGGCTTCGTACGTCACTTTAATTTTGGTCTTTGACTCTTCCACCTGAGAGGTCAAATGCTGTGCCTACAGAAGCTTCTCATTCCAAAGTCTTTCTCTTGGCTTTCTGACAGCGAAAATTTTATTATTAAGTTTCACCAGCAGTTGGTTCTTTTATTTGGAACATCTGGTAGGGAATGTCCACTTTAGTTGCTCTGATTGCTTAAGAAATTGACTTTTGAATCTGCAGGGGATTCTACAGAGAAGCCAGGAAGCTATTCTTATCTTGGAAGCTATCCCCAGTGCTTCCAGATGGTTTCAGTGAAGAAACACTCAACAGCCTCACATCCACAGATCTCCAGCTTCCTTCCAATTCTGAAACCATTATTTAGACTCTGGTCTCCTTTACCCTCTCAGCTTTTTGAACAAGAATGGCAATGGAAAAAAAAAAGTGGATCAAATTGCCATTGCATTGTCCCAAGTTCTTTGAGCTCTAGGCAGGATCTTATCCATCAGCCTTCAGCTCAGCAGTGAACAAGGCAAAGCCTACCACACAGAAGGCACTGACTTCCTTTTCAGAGGCACAACAGTAGCCCCTGGAGACAACTCCATCTTGTTCTTGTAGATGGAGCCCTTTCCTCCTTGTCCTCAGTGTGCAGAAATTGTAATGATCTGGTAATGTACATAAGTCTCCATAAAGACCATCCTCTCAGGTAGGTTTTAGAAATATTTGGGTTGTTGGGAGGGTAGTATATTAACACCTTCTGTTAACCATTTTGTAAAAATTCCCCTTCCTTAGACTTTGTGTGTTAATTCTGACTTACCACCTTATTCGTTAGCTCCTTAGACAGTTTCTGTAGCTCACACATGCCCTGTCAGGCTAGGATCTAATGGGGTTCTGGTTTAGAGATTCTTTGCATAGAGTTAGGTGTAGGGAGGAATCCTCACGTGTTATTTTCTTTCCATGACTGCTACCTTACAAGCCATACATAGAGTAAGAGAAAATAACAGGAGAGACTCCACACAGGTTTTCAAAGTAGTTGGAGTCTTAGAAGTGACCTTGGCTTGGAGAGTGAGAGAAGGAGAACAGCTTCTACTCGGTCTACCTTTGGTTTTAGTGAGCAGGCATTTGGAGAAAACCTTTAAGCAGGTTACCTGGGAGTCTCCCAGTAGACACCATCATTTATTGGCATATACTAGGGAAGAGTATCCATGGCTGTCTTCAGTGTGTCTTCAGTGTGTCCAGTGGTTTCATCTCCATAGCTGAACTTGTCACATCCAAGTAAAAGCTTACCTACTCCATTTCAGTCTTGTGTTCACTTCTTTGGCCTTTGTGGTAGTGTGACAAACACTATTAACATCAAGACCAGGTTCCACCATGTGGATATTGAAGCCAGAAGAAATAAATAATGGAGAAATGTAGCTAACAGAGGGTAAGTGAGTAACAAATCAGAAAAGAAAAAGATAGGGACTATGGCTACCTGAGATAGAGATTTTTCAAAATTGGGAGCCTAGAAGGTTGAAATTTGAACCCAAGTATGATAAAGGTTTATGTTTTGGAAATCTTGCTTTGCTGACCAGATTGGGAAGGGAACCAGGTAGGTGTGGCGAGGCCAGCTAGCAAGCTCGTGCAGTCGTCCACACAACAGATGTTGGTAGCTTGAAATAGGGTGGTGATGTGGAGGTGGAGAGAAGTGGACCAGGGAGAAGTAACTTTGTAGATAAAATCACAAGATTTGAAGATAGTTCAGATTGAGTGTGTGGGAGGCAGAGAAAAAGAATGGCTCCTGGGTTTCTGGTCTATGAAATGGAATGGATAGTGATACAGTTCTTTGAGCTAGGGAGTCCTGGAAAAGAACGAAACTTTTTGGTAGTGGGGTGACCATGAGTTGCACAGGGACATATGAATCTGAAAATACCTTTGAGGTACCCAAAAAAGTGTCAGGTCATTGGATGTGTGGGATGGAGCTCAGAGGAGGGGCCCTCAGACCCATTGGTTCTGGAACCTGGCTTGTGAGTACTCATCGTCATTTTAACCTCCACAGGTGGTTTAACAGGGCAGCCATGATTGAGATTTCCTGCCCTGCCCACTCTTTTCTCAGCATGCCTTTCATGTAGTGTATGGATCTCACCTATTTATTTCTTCCAGACCCCACTTTGTCTGACATCCTTCACCTGATCTGTCTCCAGTTATCTCCCAGATGGTTGTCTCTAACTGACATTTCTTCTCTCCAGTTCTCAGTTTTCAGTTTCTACAGTTCACATCTACTTGGATATCTCTCAGCTGTGGCGTTACTTTCTTCAGATTGCCCAAGCTAGAAACCTTGATGTCATCCTTGATTCTCTGAGCTTTATCCCTTCTTACCAGGACAGCTGCTAACAGCATGGACTCGTGTCCTCAGGTGGGGACATTGCAGCAGCCTGGAGCATGATGGCAAGAGTGTGAGCTCAGGAGTCTGATGTGGGTGCAAAAGCCTGCTTCTCCACTAGTTGGTTAGCAGGGAGACTTTGGACAGCTTCCTTAACTTCCCTGACTCTGCCTCCTGTATGTTCATTTTTTTTTTTTCATTTCAAATTTTTAAATTCCAGTTAACATGTAGTGTAATTTTGGTTTCAGGAGTAGAATTTAGTGATTAATCCCTTAAATACAATACCCAGTGTTCATCACAAGTGCCGTCTTTAGTACCCATCACCCATTTAGCCCATCCCTCACCCACCTCCCTCTAGCAACCCTCAGTTCTCCATATTTAATCATCTCTCGTGGTTTGTTTCCTTCTCTCTTTTTTTTACCCCCTTTCCATATGCTCATTTGTTTTGTTTCTTAAATTCCACATGAGTGAAATCATAGGGTATTCAGTAGGCATAGTACTATCAATTGCCTTATAAGGTGGTTGGGGTTAGCAGTAATTTTTGAAGCATATAACACAGATTCTAGCAAATAAAGAATACTTGGTAAATGGTAAATACTGTTATTATTAACTAATCTCCTTGCCTTTATTTCCCTTCTCCCTCTCTTCTGTCTACTACAGATTACCCTTTTTAAAACACTGGTATTATGTGGTCTCACTTTCCTTTGTCTCTTTGTGTATTTTTAATTGAACTTTTTGTATAGCTATGGCTTGAATAGGCCTTATCTCCCTTCCTGGTAAGCTCTTTGGGGGCAAGGCTTTGGCTTATTCATCATTTTCTGTTTTCTTCCTGTCCTGTCCTCCACCCAGGCTTAGCATAGGGCTTTATACATCACGGATATTTACTAAATGCTTGTTGAATCTCTTATGTCTCTTCTCTACTCCCATCTTATATTGTGGCTTCTTGCTGTTCACATTGTGTTAACTCACTCAATTAGAACAACATAATTGGGCCCTACACATCCAGCCTAATTCCCTACTTGGCCTTCAGACTCCACTTGAATTGGTTTGAAATGTCATTATAAACACCAACTCTTTGTCTTTGCCCCTACCATTCTCTGTGTCTGCCTCCCTCACTGATCCCACATATTTATTAGGCTCCCTTTGGGTTCTGCCTCATCTGAGGAGAGGGCCCCAGCAGCCCTGCCCACGCTGATGCATTTCCGCTTGAATTCCTGTAGCATCTGCGACCTGGGCAGTATGCCCCGACTAGGAATCCGATCTGCTCTTGGCTGTAGATGGATTTCCTTATCTGAATAATGCCACCTACCTCCCAGTCATTGTGGAGATGACATGAGTCTGAGGAAGCACTTTGTAAACTATAAAGCACTGGGCACATCTTATTTACTGTTCAGAGATCTCTGCCTCTTTTCTGTTGCACTCTCCTTGAGGGCAGTGATTATATTTTCTTCCAAAAAGACCCTCAACAGTGCTGGATGCATGGTATATGTTCATGAAAAACTTGTTGGCTGGATAACCTGATTGCAAATGTGTGTTTCTTCTTCTAGGAGCTATTCGTCGCTAATGAAAGTTGAGAATATGTCTTCAAATCAGGTATGTTCAAGTTATTTGCTCTAATGTTGTGCCTTAAAATAATTAAGAGTTTTTAATAATTGAGTTACTAGCCAATACCGACTCGTGTGTTGCTGATGGCTTGACATGATTCGGTAACTATCGTACACTCAAGTGGATTCTATGAGGCATCGCCCCTCCTTCCCTGTGGACTCGCTCGTGTATTTAAAGTAGGTCACCTCATGGAAAGAGATTGTTGTACGTTGTTGTGAAGTGTGGTCTGATAGTACTTCCTAAGATAAAAAGCAATGATGATCCATATTACAGTACTGAAAGAATCTTCTTAGCATCAGCACCTAATATTTTCTTAGAACTATGTCAGAGACTTCTTGTCCATGAGTACTATCTTCCCCGAATTTATTTTCAAGTGACTGGCAATAGCACAGTTTAGCTATCACTTAACAATCTGCAGAAGATTGAAACTGGGTGGATATATTTGCTATATTGCGTATTTTATAGTGTAGTTTACAAATACAGTTGACCCTTGAACAATATGGGGGGTTAGGTACCCCAACCCCTTACGCAGTTGAAAATCTGCATATAACTTTTGACTCTCCCAGAACTTAACTACTGGTAGCCTACTATTGACCACAAGCTTTACCGTAACATAAACAGTCAATTTAACACATGCCCCTTTTTTTTTTAGTTTATTTATTTTTGAGAGAGAGAAAGAGGGAGCATGAGTGAGCAAGGGAGGGGCAGAGAGAGAGAGAATATCCCAAGCAGGCTCCACACTGTTAGTGCAGAGCCCGATGCGGGGCTTGAGCTCACACACCAAGAGTTCTTGACCTGAGCCAAAATCAAGAGTTGGATGCTTAACTGACTGAGCCACCAGGCGCCCCAATTAACACATATCTTATGTTATACATATTATGTACTGTATTCATACAATAAAGGAAGCTAGAGACAAGAATATAAAATCATAAGAAAAAGTTTATACATTTACAGTGCTGTACTGTATTTATTGAAAAAGATCTGTAAAAGTGGACCTGTGTGGTTCAAAACCATGTTTTTCAAGGATCAACTATATATGCTTTAGATCTGTGTTGTGTAGGATACTAGGCACTAATTACATGTGGCTATTTAAATTTAATTAAAATTTAATTTAATTTAAAAACTCAGTTCCTCAGTCATACTAGCCACATATGGCTAGTGGTTACCATATTGGATGGTGCAGAAATAGAACATTTCCATCATCACAGAAAATACTGTTAAGCAGTATTGCTTCAGATGCTTAGAAATAATTAATAGAATGTAAGATCCCTTAAAGGTCATCTAGTCAAACCCCATATTTAGTTCATAAATTGGAATTGTTAGTAGGACTTTACACCTTGTTCATATCTGGATGTCCTTCTAAAAATGAGTAAGAACAATATTCTTATTCATGTCTCTGTGAAGAACTAAATTTATGAGGCTTCTTTGTGAGTCAGAGATGTAGCTTTGTACTTTATCCTGAAACATTCCAGGGTAGCATTATGTAATTAAATACAGCCTTGAATTTGAAGTTTAGAGCCTTAAACTGTCATTTACTAATTGGATAAGCCTAATGAAGTGATGTAACCTCTCTGAGGGAGATTTCATCAGCAGTGGAAGAGACCTGTTACTTCATGGGTCTGCACTAAAATTTAAACAAGGACATATATATGAAAGTTCTTCCTTAGTCTGTGAATATAAATGGTCATTGTTATTTTTTATTTTTTATTATTTTTTGAGAGAGATACTGCATGAGCGGGGGAGGGAAGGAGGAAGAGAGAGAGAGAATCTTCAGCAGGCTTCATGCACCAGCATGGAGCCCGATGTGGGGGTCTATTTCAGAATCGTGAGATCAGGACCTGAGCCAAAATCAAGAGTTGGACACTTAACCAACTGAGCCACCCAGGCACCCCAGTCATTGTTATTTCTTACTGATAGAGTCCTTAGTTGCTCTTTTCCCACACAGTATCAGGATTAATGACGATGAGATGTATTTAATCGCTTCTGGAAACTACTCTTAGATTTCTTGGAACTCTTAAAACAGCTTAATAGTCAAACAAGTCTTTAACGTACCCTAAATCTAATGTCTTTGTTTTGTGCTTACTGTTGTTTATCAAAATGTTCTGTTATTTAGAGACTACGCCAGCAGATATCTGGCACCTATATAATGTTATGTACGACATTAGGCATTTTCATTTCCATCATTGTTGATTTTTAAAGTTTGAGCGTTCTGGAATTAATACACACAGACAAATATACATACATATATCCATACACACACACACATGTGATCTGATCAGTGACAGATGTTAAAAGTTCCAGGATTAGCAAGTCAGATTTGTAGAACAAAGGATCACGAACTCTTCTACCTTTCCCCTTCCCTCTGTTGCTTGTTCCTCTGTCCCTGAGTTCCAGGTTTCAATCAGATTCACATTTCCAAGGAAGTTTTTGCACTGGGTATTTTTATTCTCTCTTGCAGTGGAAGGACTCTTACAGCTTTCCCCCAGACTTCAAAAGAATAGGTTTTAATTCTCCTTGTAACTTTCTGCTGTTGAGGGGATTACAGACCTTTTATGATCTAATTTGGCTGCACACTCAGTTGATTTTCAGTTAAAGCCTAGTGTTTATATAAGATAGGACTTGATTTTTTTTTTTTTCTTTTTTTGAGAGAGAGAGCACGAGCTGGGGAGAGGGCAAAGGGAAAGGGAGAGAGGAAGAGAGAACCTTAAGCAAGAACCATGCTCAGTGCAGAGCCCATTGCTGAGTTTGATCTCACGACTCGGGGATCATGACCTGAGCTGAAATCAAGAGTCAGACGCTCAGCCGACTGAGCCAGCCAGGCGCTCATAGGACTTGATTTTTAATTAAGCTCATATAAATTTATCAGGAAAAATATTAGTCTTCCACTCTGAAGTTGGTTTTAATTTTGAGCTTTTGTTCTATTTAGAATAATTCTTTTCAATCTGTAATTTCTACCTAGCCTTTCTAAATTTGGTGCCAATAAACAGTTAACTTTCAATTCAGTTTTATTTGCTTATCACTTTATAGGTGGATGACAGGATACCTGTTTTGCTACATTGAAAAACATATTCGGGCGCCTGGGTGGCTCGTTGGTTAAGTATCTGACTCTTGATTTTAGCTTAGGTCATTATCTCACGATTTGTGAGATCGAGCCCCGAGTTGGGCTCTGTGCTGGCCGCTGGCAGCATGGGGCCTGCTTGGGATTCTCTCTCTGCCCCTCCCCCACTCACACTTGCCACATGCTTGCTCTCTCTCAAAATAGATAAACTTTAAAAAAAGAAGGAAAAACATATTGACTCTTAAAGGGAATCTTAAATGTAAAAATTGTCCAAATAAAGTCTTGGTCTCAGACATCTATTTAAAAGTTACTGTAGGGACGCCTGGGTGGCGCAGTCGGTTAAGCGTCCGACTTCAGCCAGGTCACGATCTCACGGTCCGTGAGTTCGAGCCCCGCGTCAGGCTCTGGGCTGATGGCTCGGAGCCTGGAGCCTGTTTCCGATTCTGTGTCTCCCTCTCTCTCTGCCCCTCCCCCGTTCATGCTCTGTCTCTGTCTGTCTCATAAATAAATAAAAACATTGAAAAAAAAAATAATAAAAGTTACTGTAATCCCCAGATACAGATCTGCAGACACACCGGAACTCTGCGGATCTGACTCCCGGCCTTTATAGAGAGTGACACACTTTCATTGTCACCAACCCAGATTATCTTAGAGCATTTTTCCTCCTCAGTGTTCCAGATCTAATGCTGACCTTCGAGATAGATGGTGACTCTCTGAACATCTGTAATGCTGTGATTTCAGCGTCAGACTCTAGAGCAGTCACAGTTCTGGTTCTGGCATAGAGTACCAACAGGAGTTTTCTCTGGGTACAGTTATCTAAGACATTTTTACTGTGGCCTGGGTGCATTGTGCTAATTGAAGAAAAGCACAGAGGAAACTACTGAATGAAACCGGAGATCAAACCAGACTTCAGACCATTGTTTCCTGCCTATATCTCCTGTTTCCTTACCCATCTTTCATAAGAGCTATTAAGAAGGTGAAAAACATATACACCTGTAAGCCTGAGCCCTCTCCTCTTCTCTAACAGCTCGGGTATCAAACAATGGGAAAGAGAAGCTGCAACAATTGATATGTTCAGGTTGAGACATTTTCAAGCGAATGTCCCAAACTTACACTATTAGTAAACGTTGGCACCCGGAGCAGTGTTCAGGGCATGCGGTAGCTCAAAGTGGAGTCTGGCACTCTTTTGTACTTGGCCTTCAGGACTCGTGTATAAGCCACACAATAAAATCAGCGCCTTTATACTACATACCATCATGTCGGGTTTTTAATCAATAACTTGGCAGGCTAACTAACTTGGTATCCAGCCTGTGGCTTCCTAATCACTTTTCCTATTTAGAAAAAAAAAAACAAAAAACATCTTGCGATAACCTTGAGGCTCAAAATAATGGAATGTAGACCAAAGAAGGGTTTGCATACTGGCAGTATCATGGGCAGAAGGTTTGAGGCAAGATCTGTTTGGATTCATATCTTGGTGTATTTGTTGAAGGAGCAATTACGTTTTCTTCCCGTCACACTTGTTATGTCCTATACGAGGTCAGTTGAGCCTTACTTCATACTTTGGAAACCGCTGGTCACTTGTCACTATGTTATTGACAACTTAGAGAATCCAGCTCTTTTAAACAGCTCCTACTTTCAGATAGAGAATTCGTGAGTGAATTTAGTGATTTTACTTTTTACTTTCTGACCGCTGCAGTTACGTGTGAAGAAGCTTATTACTTAAGACTAATTGTGTACATTTTTTAAACGGAGTTATTTATTTTGAAGGCTTTCACAGTGTCCCTTTTCTCTTTCCTACAGGACGGCAATGATTCAGATGAATTCATGTAAATGGAGGAAAGGACCTTTTAAAGATGTGAATTTAGGGACAGTTGCAGACGTTTTGATTTCATCTGTGTTCTGAGTTATAAAAAAATGAGTAAAATTCTACCTTCATTCTACACAAATATTACCAACTTCAGAGTTTAAAAAAAAAAGTGTTTCCTTTTTTGCCAACAGAAAAGGATCAGATATTTATAATATATTTGGACTTGAAAATAGCATATAACTTTAGGAAAGTGAAAATATTTTTGCCGGAACATGTCTTAGTACCTCATGAAAGTTGGCTGCCCTTGTTCCTGGGATAGACTTTAGAATGAACCAGCTCTGAAAAGTATTTGTTACTGTGCTCTGTCCCTGAAAACAGATGTCTTGAAAGCTTTTCATGTTCTTAAAATAGCTTCTTCTGTTAAGAAGAATGTATTAGTGAGCAGTATATGCGAATGTTCCCCTCAGCCTTGATTTCCTGACTAGAAAAAAAAAGCTTATGGGTTTTGATGGTGGTGGTGATATTTTCAGAAGGTTGCTGGCTTCAGTATTCCCGTTCCATTGTGTCACCTGAGTCTCTTAGCGGAGTTGTCCTCAGCTCCCAGCTTGTCCTAACTTCTCCCTTCTGCATCCTTTCTCTGAGTGAGGGCCTCCCCCCCAGGTACCATCGTACTTAGAGAAGTAGTCAGTGTTCATCAAGGTTGGGCGTGTGGCAGTGTTTACCTGAACGCCACGTAACCCAAGCCACGTGCCTGACGACTTCCAGGCTCTGGAGCCATTTCTCAGCACTTGGGAGAAACCGGAAGGCATGCTCTGCGTCCTTTTGAAGATGTAGGTTACCTGATTTTTGTCTTGGGATGCAGCCTAAAACAAAAAGTCCGTGTTGCGGTTATGATTTTAGGAAAAAAAATTAAGCATTTCATGAGCCAGCCAAGTAATTTGTTTATTTACCTTGAAATAATATTTATTTTGATTTGTAACCCCAGAGTTCAGATTTCTCAATTGTAGACCCAGTAACTTAATATGTAACAAGACTGCTCATCTGAACCACCTCCTCTCCAGTGTGATTCCAAATAGAAGACCTATTTTTATTGCAGTCCCTGTAGGAAGAGACAAAACAAAACCATGAAAGGGGAAGAGAATAAAGTCTGCAGGTCAGGAGGCATGCAGATTCACATTTTAACCACACCCAGAGCTCTACACGCAACTTCTTTTATTCTTCACTGTATTCTAACCCAGCAAAAATTATCTCCTCCAACAAATACTCTACCTATAATAGCACTTTGGAACTATGGGTAAAACCAAAAGACTTCAGTGTTTCTATTTATCCCAAATTGGTGTGTGGAGTTGGAAACTGGAAAATTTCCCTGAGGCATAGCTCAGCCAGATTTTTGAGAGGGGGTATGGGAAATGACTCCAGAAATTAATGATCGTGTGTGTGTGTGTGTGTGTGTGTGTGTGTAATAATATTCACCCTGGGGTTCTGTGATTTTAAAAATGTAATAATAAAGAATCATTTTTTATTTGGAAGGACATTGATACATGAATTCTTAGAATCTGCTCATTATCCCCATCCCCAAGCTGGTTTGGGGGATGATCTGGCTCTAAAAAAAAATACCCTCATCCATCTGAGACTCAACATGGCAGGTTCTAGAGGGATATCTTCTTCCTCCCCCACTGTCACATGCATCTCGCACCCACACCAGATGCCCGCTGGGCCAAAGTGCATGACCTTCCCCAAACCCTCTCTGGATTGAGTGTAAGCTGATAGCGGTACCTCTTCAGTGAGCTGGCCGCCCTGCCCGGTACGGAGGCACGTCTTTCATGCTGCGGCAAACACCGAAAACGGGGACATCTTGCCTCTAGCCCCACCTGCGTCACCTCACCCTGCCACCACTTCCGAAGGACTCCTCTGTACCCCACGTCACAACAGGTGTAGGTAGGACTTTTGAAGCAGACCTCTATTTTGAGTGCAGTGTGAGAGATCCTGGGGTCCGAATTTCAAACATGTCCTAATTCTCCCCACACTGGTTTACAACGTCAAGGCCTCTCTGAATTCTCCAAGTTGGATTCCTAGCTCCCTGCCTGTGTGTGTTGGGCAGTCTTTTCCCCAGCACCCAGGATCCCAGGAAAAAACAACAACAACAAGGACATTTTCTCTTGAGGACACTGGTTCAGTGACAACAGGTCAAAATTCTGGCACTGGAGCCATCTCATTTCTTGCTATTGGCATGTTTCCTAAACTTCCTATAGGAAAATTCCCAATCGTTACTTTTATGAGCTGTGCCCTTGATCAAATCCGTGCCTCCTGAGGGCTTCTCTTATTAACTGTCTCATTTCCCCACTCACCTGTCTGTGGGTGAGGTTCACATTATTGAATTTACTTCACAAACTCTGCTCTTACTCTTACAGCTAAAGAATTTGTTTCTTATCCACCTTTGTTGACCTGGGCTCACGATCTTCTGGCAGGGGAGCTCTGTCACAGTTCCTGTGCAGGAACACGTATTTGGAAACTTCCCAAAGCACGGAAGGCTTTGACATGAGCAGAATAGGCAATAAGCATTAGCTGAGCCCCATCGGTAGCTCACGTTTATTTTGTTGTACTGTTTATGACTCTGTCTCGAAGCACGGGTTTGGGTGAGCCTTTTAACCGTTCAGTGCCAAGGTTTCCCCACTCAGGAAGGAAGGCGTCAGGAGTACGCAGAGGAGTGGAGAGAATTTAGCCCTAGCCTCCAGCTCGGAGCCAGTGCTCTCCCTCCACGTTTGCATCTGAGAGGGGAAACCCTTGTTCTCATAGAACAGGTTATGGGGAAAACTGCACAGGGTAGGGAAATAGAACACTTCTCCAGTTCTTCCTAAGCTGTGATGCCAAAGCCTGCTCTTTCTGTGTTTGGTTGGAAGTGTAGCCTGGTGAATAACAAATCCCATACTCAACATGAGTACAGTAAAGTCGGTGGGCAACCTTCTGATGTTAGACTATGAAACAGTCTGTAACTTAATAAAATCAGAAGTGTAAAATGAGAAACTTAAATTCCAAGCTGTCAGCCTTGACCCGTGTAACTCCAGCGAGTGTGACAGCTCAGAGATGAGGAAGCCACTGCCAGTGCCCAGGCAGACTCACATTCGAGTTTCACTCCGTGACAGCTCTCTGCTCGGCACACGTGGGCCCGGCACAGGGCAAGAGACTTTATGTGCGCTGTATCATTTCACGAACGAGAAGATGCCAGCTGCATAGTCATCATGTCCCAGATGAATGATATGTAAAATTCAATAAAAGCTTATAGTTTGAGTAGAACCAAGTGTGTAGGGGATTTTACTTTTCACTTTGCTCCTCCAAGCCTCAGGCTCACTGATGGGCTCTGCATGCTTATTTTAGGCCAGTAGGAACGGGGAGGTTCCTGGCTGCCTGAAATGATGCCCTTCAAACAGTTTTGTTTCTTAGTGGGAGGAAAAGAACAAACTAGGGTGAAGGGAAGATTGCCTAGGAATCCGGGAAGAGATTCCAGGACGAGAAGTCAAAAGCCTGGAGCTCAAGGGCCATGATACTTGAGCTCTGGTACTTGAAGTTCACGACTTGATACCCCACCTGCCACAAATCCTAGGGGTCTGCTGAGATTTTGACCAGGACGAGGCTACAAATGTGAAGACTTGCTGGAATGATACCCTTGAGGAGTGGAGTGGTCCAGACCAGCGTTGTTGACAGCTGCACCCCTTCTGTGGCAGTGCTTAGTCTGTAACTGAGTGCGTTTGCAGGCAGGTATGGGGGTAGAGGGAGCCACAGAAACATTCATGTTTCTCTCCCAGCTGCAAAAGCATATTGGAATCCTTAAATGATTATTAGAAGACATTTGAGTTCTGTTTCTCACTGGTCGGGGCAATACCCACATCCATTTGGTTTTCACCTCCTTCACTATGAGAATTCTGGAGTTTTAAGGTTTTTTTTTTACTTTTTTTTAATGTTTATTTTTGGGAGAGAGCATGAGTAGGGGAAGGGCAGAGAGAGAGAGAATTTAGAATCCGAACGAAGCAGGCTCCAGGCTCTGAGCACGGCCCAATGTAGGGCTTGAACTCCCAGAACCTCGAGATCATGACCTGAGCCAAAGTTGGTTGCTTAACCGACTGAGCCACCCAGGCGCCCCAAGAGGTTTAAGTTTTTGAGTAAATTAACCCATATGGGAAAGATAGGTTGAAACCAGAATTTTCATACAAAAACACGTAGAGATGAGTGCGTACCCCTGTTAGAGTCGAGGGTACACTGAAAACACAGATGCTTCTCTGACACTGTGTGTTAACCATGGTTGATCATTAGAATCTACTGCCCTCTGTTTTTCTGCCTCACATTGATTGCTCTACTGTGTCTTTCTGATTTCATGGTATCAATTACTTGAGGAACTTTCCACCTTCATGCCCGTGACTCTAGTTCTGCCCCATGGCCAGGTGAAATAAGAAACCTCCCTGCTGTTGGCACATACTGATTGGCACTGACCTGGCATTTTCTGCTTTTGTTGATGGCCAAGGAATGGAGGCCAAGGGAAATGAAGGCTCACCCTTGAAATCTTATGTAGCTTTTACTCGTTCTCAAACCTGGTGCGTGGGTGTCAATATTTAAGGCTGGGGGGGAAAAAAAACCAACTCTCCCAAGTCAGTATGCGTTTTCATTCCCATGTCAACCCCTCCTGTAACCACTGCAGTAAAAATACAAGACTAATGGCCTGACATTTCACATCCTGCCTAGATGAACCCTTCGCTGCCCGCACTCCTGCTGGTATTTTGGTTTCTGCCTCAGCAGTTTGCCCTGCATAGAGGAGGCTAACATTTGCTTAAGACTTCTGGGATATGCTTATGAGAATAGGATCTTTCAGGTTTTAAAGGCTGGTCTGTTATCCTTGAACCTTTTTGGCTTCTTGGCCAAATCCAGGGTCAACGGGTCAAAATTACAGACTGAAAAAGGTAAAGAGAAAAACAGTGTTAGAGGCAGTGCCCTTTATCCAGTTCAGCCTTGCCAGAATTCTCTTCCATTGTGAAGCCCTTGGCTTTGTTCTATCACTTCAAACACTGACTTTTTAATTTTATAGTTAATGTACTCCCTATCAGTGAGGCTTACGTAACCTCTTTCAAAAGTAGAACTGTTTTAGG